TTAAGGTAGTGCTATCGAGGGCTGATCAGGATTAGGCTAGCTCCACCTTCTTCACTGGTCGAGGAGCCATCCACGTAAAACTTCTAGGGAGGTAGTTGAAAAAGGGCCTTGGAGGTCATGGTGGGCGCCTAGATGCCTTGGGTGCCCCTACAGGGCACCAGATTGTTATGGGTGCCAGACCTTGGCGCTTGAGTGTTTGGGTAAGCCTCTGATAAGGCTTCTTGAGGTGTCGACGATCCTCTGTCTTCCTCTTCTTCCGGTGTGAGCTCCGCAATAAAGTCTGCAAAGGCTTGTGCTTTGATGGTTGCCCTTGGTTGGTACTAGACATCAAACTCGCCCAGCTCTACTGCCCACTTAAGGAGTCTTCCAGAGACATCTGACTTCCCCAGAACCCTCTTTAGAGGCTGGTCCATGACAACGACGTAATGCCAGAAATGTCTTACTATTGAGATCAGGGCGAGTGCCAACTTTTCTATCCCTGAATATCTTATTTCTGCTCCTCAGTATGCCCTGCTCACGTAATAGATAGACTTTTGCACTCATTTCATTGTCTCTGATGAGGACGGAGCTTATTGTCGATGGGGAAGCAGAAAGGTACAAATATAGGGTTTCACCTAGTGTAGCATGTAAAAGGAGGGGAGGTGTAGCCAAGTAACCTTTGAGCTTTTGAAAAGCTTCTTCTGCCTCAAGTCTCCACTCAAAGGCTTTCTAGAGAATCTTGAAGAAGGGTAAGCACTTATCTATAGACTTGGAAACAAATATTTTGAGTGCTGTAATTCTCCAGTTGAGGCGCTGAAGTTCCTTGGTTGTGGTGGGTGATTTCATGTCTAGGATGGCTTTAATTTTGTCAAAATTTACCTCAATTCCCCTCTGATTGACCATGAAGCCTAAAAAATTTCTCAGGGTTTAGCTTCATGTGATATGACCTAAAAACATCGAAGGCTTCTTGAATATGATCTATGCAATCTGCTGCGGTGAGGTTTTTTACTAGCATATCGTGCACGTATACCTCCATTGTTATCTTAATCTAAGACTGAAACATCTTATTCACCAGCCGTTGGTAGGTTGCTCCTATATTTTTTAGTCCAAAGGGCATGACTGTGTAATAATAAGATCCCTTTGGAGTGATGAATGACATCTTCTCCTAGTTAGAGGGTGCATGTTGATTTGGTTATATCCAGAGTAAGCATCCAGGAAAGTGAGCAATTCATATTATACAGTGGCGTCGATAAGGAGGTCGATTCATGGCAACGGGTAGCTGTCTTTATGGCACGCCTTGTTGCGTTTGGTGAAGTTAACATAGAGGCATCATTTTTCATTGGCTTTAGTCACCATCACCACATTTGAGAGCTATACTAGATATGCCACTTTTCTGATTGCCCCATTTTGTATCAACTTCCTCATCTCCTTGTCCATCGCTTGCGCCCTTTTAGTGGAGGCGTTCCTTAGCTTTTGGCGAACAAACTTGTAATGAGGGTCAACAGTGAGGCGGTGGGTGGTGACCTTAGGGTCGATGCCCTCGAAGTCTTCATGTGACCATACGAAAACATCCATACTACATCTCAAAAAATCTGTTAGCTGGCGGACTAAATCTTTAGGAAGGTAAGAGTCAATGTATACTCTTATGTCTGAATGCTCCTAATCTAGAACCACTGGTTTGAGCTCCTCTACTGGCTCTCTTCTTTCTAATGTGGCATCATCCCTCAGGTCGAGGACCTCCACTTGTAGGGCCTATTGTGGATTTTTTGTCTTCATGGAGGAGACGTAGCATTCTTTTACAGCAACTTGATCTCGTCGGACCTCTCCAACTCCATTTGGGGTTAAAAATCGGAGGATAAGATGATAAGTGGAAGGTACGACTCTAAGGGTGTTGAGAGCAAGTCACCCCAGAATAACATTGTAGGCTGAAGGGCAGTCTATCACCAAGAAGTTCACTATGACTGTGGAGCTTCAAGGTGCTGCACCGACAATAACTAGCAAGGTGATGGATCCTAGAGGATACACCTTCTCCCCTGAGAATTTGATAAGAGGTGACTTGATGGGCTGCAATCTTTCTCTTTCTAGTTTGAGCTTTTCATAGGCTTCTGCGAACAAAATGTTTGCAGAGCTGCCACTGTCTACTAGAATCCTTTGTACTTAGAAATTGGTCATAGTCATGGTTAGCACCAGTGGCTCATCGTAGGGTTGTTGGATTCCCTCCAGGTCCTTGTTTGAAAAAGATATGACCTTGTCATTTCCTTGCTTGCGTGTCTTGGATAGGCGTAGGTCATCAACATGCCTAGCCTTTCTGGCATGGGCTTTCATGGCGGAGAGAGATTCTCCTCCTCCAACGAGCCCTCTAGAGATAGTGTGAATTTCTCCAATGGGTTACTAGTCCTTCTGATTATGAGGTGATGACGGCTCCTGCCCCTACCAGCAACATACTGGCGTAGATAACCACATTATATGAGCTCCTTAATTTGTCTTTTGAGGTTGTAGTAGTCATTGGTGTCGTGATCGTGGTCGCGATGGATGCTACAATATTTGTTCGGGTTCCTGCGATTCGAGGGAGATTTCATTCTGCTTGGCCACTTTATTGCGGGGTCATCCTGAATCTGGAACAGGATGTGCCTAACAATGACATTGAGGGGAGTGAAGATTTGCCAATCTCTTTGCAGGGCAGGACTAAGTCAGTCTTTAGCAAACACCCTTTATATCCTGCCTCGTTTGTTTCCACTCTCCTTCTTGTCTTTTTTGTCTCTTTCCTTTCTCTTCTCCCCTATATATGAAGATTCACCTCGCTTGGCCCTGGTGATGTCCTCAATATTCATATACTTCTAGGCTTTTGCTAGCAGTTTTGGCATACTCTTTGGTGGATGTTTCATCACCGAAAAGAGGAAGCTTGATAAACGAAGACCTCCCAAAAAAGCGGTCATGGTGACCTTGTCATCAGGCTACTCAATCTGGAGGACCTCGTCGTTAAAACGAGTGAGATAACTCCTTAGACTCTCATCTCGATCCTACTTTATGCTGAGTAGGTGGGTGACAGGCTTCTAGTGATGACGTCCTCCAATGAAGTGCAACAGAAAAGACCTGCTTAGTTTTGCGAAAGAGTCAATGGAAGCTGGGGTGAGTTTGGCAAACCATCTGTTGCGCTGATCCCTTCAAGGTAGTTGGGAATGCCCTATACATAATTTTTTCGGGAACATTGTGTAGTTGCATTAAGGTCTTGTACATTTCAAGGTGATCATGTGAGTCCTTTGTACCATCGAAAATTTCTACAGATGAAATTTTGAACTTTTGGTAAAGTAGGTAGTTCGCCACATTTGGTATAAAGGGTGTGTCAGTTTGCCTTACTAGGTAATCAACGGTTTTGGGTCCTTGTGCTTTCATGGTGTTGAAGACGTCACCTAGCTGATTCCGCACTTCTTTGATTTTTCATCCCAATAGTTGGGAGCTCCTTTGGAATTGTCGTGGAAATGGCTCCCATGCTCTATGCTTTGGTTTTCGCCCTCATTTTCTTGAAAATGTAAGTCTCCACCATGAGAAGAGGGAGCTAAAGGAGGAGGTGGAGGTCCTTCATAGTGGGCTCCCATGTGTGAGACGCCCATGTGGGGAGCTCTTTGATGCCTAGGGCGTGAAGCTCCTCTAGCTTGAAGTCCTTCGGTTAGATAAATGAGCTTCTGGCAGTGACTCATGAGAGAGTCACTAAGTTGGGGACTGAGATTGCTTGCGTGAGAGCAAAAACAAAGTGAGATCGAGCTTTTGGTGACTCATGAGAGAGGTGTTAAGTTGGAGACTGAGTTTACTTGCATGAGAGCAGAGGCAGAATGAAGTCAATTTTTAGGTGACTTGGGAGGCTCTCTCCGAAGAGACAGAGAGGATAATAAGGGTAGTCAAAAGGCGTCAATAAGATAAAGTCAGCATTGCATGGGGAGTCAACCACAGGAGGCAAGGTCGCTGATGCACTAGGAGGGGTAATGCGGGGCACCAAAGGCATTGCTGGATGAACTGGACACACGATGTAGACGGTGCACTTAGGCAAGCGAGAAAGTAGACGCTAAGGCAGGGGTGTGTAGGCACTATGTTGGAGATATAGGCTGCTTGCATGAGAACAGAGACATAGAGAGGCTAATTTTTAAGTGACTTAATAGGCTCTCTCCCAAGAGACGAAGAGGACAGTGAGGGTAGCCAGATGACATCGGTAAGATAGAACCTGTGGTGCGTGGGGGTCAAGGGCGGGAGGCATGGTCGTTTAATGCTCCAGTATGGGTGACGTTGGTCATCAAACACATTGCTGGATAAACTAGGCACGTGGTGCGAGTGATGGACTAGGCAGGCAAACGCTAAGTTGGAGACATAGGCTACTTGTGTGAGAACAAAAGTAGAGTAAGGTTGAGTTTTTGGCAAGTTATGAGGCTCTCTCCTAAGAGATGGAGAAGACAGTGAGAGTATCTAGAGGGCGCTGATATGATAGAGCTGACAATGTATAGGCGTCGAGTGCAGAAGGTGAGGTCGCTTGATACGCCAAAAGGGGTGACGTTGGGCACCAAAAACACTGCTGGACAAACTGGGCATCAGTACAGGCAGTATAGCCAAGCGGGCGAGGAGGTAAGCGGTAAGGCAACGGTGCACAAACGCTAAGCTAAAGACATAGGTGGTTTGCGTGAGAGTAAATGCAGAGTAAGGCCGAGTTTTGGGTGACTTGGGAGGCTCTCTCCCAAGAGACGGAGAGTATATTGACGGTAGCCAGAGGGCCCTGGTAAGATAGAGCTGGTGGTGCATGGGCATCAAGTACGAAAGGTGAGGCCACTTACAACGCCAAGAGGGGTGACGTCTGGCACCAAAGCACTACTGGACAAACTGAGCACACGATGCGTGCAGTGCATCTAGGCGGGCGTGGAGGCATACGCCAATGCAACAACACGCAGACGCTAAGCTAGAGATATAAGCTGCTTACGTGAGAGCAAAGGCAAAATGAGAATGAGTGTTAGGCACCTTAGGAGGCACTCTCCCTAAAGATGGAGAAGACAGTGAGGGTAACACTGGGCACCAAAGGCACTATTGGACGAACTGGGCATACAATGCAAACGGTGTGCCCAGGCGGGCGAGGAGGTAGAGGCAAGGCAAGGGCGCACAGGCGCTAAGCTAAAGACATAGGTTACTTGCATGAGAGTAGAGGGAAAATTAGGCCAAGTTATGGGCGACTTGGGAGGCTCTCTCCCATGAGATGGAGATAACGGTGAGGGTAACCAGAAGGTGCTAATAGAATAGAGTCGACGATGTATGGGCGTCAAGCGTGGGAGGCAAGGTCGCTTAATGCGCTAAGAGGGGTGACGCCAGATGCCAAAGGCATTGCTGGATGAATTGGAAATGTAATGCGGGTAGTGCGCCCAGGCGGGCAAGGAGGCAGACGTTGTGGCAAGGGCATGTAGGTGCTAAGCTAGAGAAATAGGCTGCTTGTGTGACAACAAAGGCTGAGTTTTGGGTGAATCGGTAGGATTTCTCCTAAAAAATGTAGAGGACAATGAGGGTAGCTAGAAGGCATCGAGCGCGGTCGGCAAGGGCACTTGATGAGCCATAAAGGGTGACACCAGGCACTAAGGGCACTGCTGGACGAGCGGGGCACGCAATGTGGGTGGTGTGCCTAGGCGGTCGAGGAGGTAAGTGCCAAGGCATGGGGGCACGGGTGTGCTGGCGCCACGAGGGCTAGGTGTTGGGAGTGGGTGCGGGGCACTTGCGCTAGGCGTGAACACTGGGGCACTAGGCGCTTTGGTGCAGAGTGTTGGGGCGTTGGGGAGCAGGTGCTGGGGGCAAGGGTGCAAGGGAGGGGATGTGGGTGTGCGAGCGCTGAGGCGCGGTGGTCGGGCGCTAGGTGCCGGACTTTCTGGTGTAGGGTGCCTAGACATTGGGTGCTAGGTGGAGTATTAGAAACCATAAAGAAATGGCAAAACTTTGAACGACCATAAATTTGCTCTCCGTTCTCCATTTGAGTTGAATTTTTTTTTTTTGAATCCAAGTATTTTTTTCGTTGTAACATGCAGGTCATCTTCCGCATTGTGGTTCATAGATCTGGTTATGATTGTCATTTAAGGTAGGAAGAGTATAGGGTGAGAATCAAATCTTTTCCCATAGGCGGTACCAAACTAATGATGCACAATATTTATTATACAAAATCAAATCAGTCAAGTGTGTGGTGTAAAAAAATTAATGAAACAATTAATAATAAGAGACAAAGATTCGGTGGTTGGGTACGGATGACCTAACCACTGAAGGCAGCAACGGTGACTGGAGAACTCTATTAATAAAAGATTAAAAGGTAGAAAGAGATAAAGAGAGAGAGAGAGAGAGAGAGAGAGCTCAAGTGTAGTGTGTGAGCTCCAACCCCATATGTAGGGGGTTTACAATTTATAGGCACAGAACCCTAGCTGTGAAATGATGTGAACATCGAGCTACTAGTCTATCAGGGAGGATAGCTACAATTGAAGATATACATTATCTTGGAGTAATGACTATCTTGATTATTACTCTCCCACGTGTGTTAATTTTTTCTAGGCTCTTGAGCTATGGTTTTGAATGAAACCATGAGCTCTACTTGGTCTGCCTTTTGATAATTTGGGCTTAACCCATAGATTTGGCCCACGCTTGGTCTGGTTCTGGGCTCGTCAACAACATCTAGCCAAAATCCAACAATTGACCATGAACTTTATATAGAGGAAGTGAAAGAGGTTGTTGTCTATTCCACCACCAAATCTGCTATCGTCCAACCCAAACTAGCCAAGAACCACTACCACCACCTCAGTTGAAGTGATGGAAATCATAAGAATTGGAGGAAACGCGGCCTTCTTGTCCATCATGTCTCTCTCTCTCTCTCACACACACACACAAAATTCATCACATCTCTCTCTCCCTCACACACACACAAAATTCATCACATCTCTCTTTTCCTCACACACACACACACACAATTCTATCATCGGTGGAATTGGATTTGTTGGTGCTGAAACAGATTTTTGGGTTCTCAAGGATTTTTTGGTCACGACTTTGGGTCGTGGGTGGCCTAATTGTGGTGGTTTTGGGGTTAAGAAAGGGATGAAAAATAGATGGTAGTTAGAGGTAGAGATACTGGTTGGTTTTGGGTAGATGGGAATGGTAGTAGTAAAGAGTGAAAATTGAACGAATAAACTAGGTTATTATGGTATTTTTATAGATTCCATAACAGACCTCCATTGTTGCACTTTATTTTCTAAAGTTAAGGGCAGTTTAGTACAAAAGTTTAAAGTCCAAGGAGGTTATTTACAACTACTCCAAAAAACATGGGAGTTTTTTGCATTTAACTATTGCCGAGAGAGGGACACAAAGAACAATACTATTGGGACATAATTTATAGATAGTTGATACACACATGTATTGTACGTGAACTATGTCATTTGATCTTGTGAAGATCAAAATATTTATATTGAATTCATGTATCATTTATTTCCTGAATTGAATTGAATGAGAAATGTTTTAGTGCCTCGTTAAAATGCTTTGGAAGACACCAATATTAAGGAAGGAGCACATTAAGTACATAAAATGGTTGGCACCTACCTCACGAAAGTAATCTATAAAGAGTGCTAATAGATTGACAAACAAGAGGGCAATGAAGATCTAAACCTCCCATAAGTATTATGAAAACTCGACAAATCTGACTTGCCAATTCGAATAAAAAATTGAGTTCCTCCTAATTTACCTCTTATATGCTCCTATAAATTAATACCTCAAGTATTTGGACTCCAACACAATGCAAAGTAGTCTACACTCACTTAATCATTCTTAAACATTGTGACTGGTTTGGTGGGAAGAAAACAAAAGGCAGAGCAAAATTTTAAAGTTTACAAGTGAACGAGAATTGAGGAAGAAATGTAGTTCTTTATCAATTTGAATGGGCAAAGAAGACATTCTAGCTTTTAGAGCCAAGTACAAGATTTTTGATGACGTTCATGTTCAAGTGGCTGGTACTAATAAGCCATTGATTGGAACTAGGGAATCAATCCCTATCCATACAAGAGCAATCCTAAAGGTGGGGTAATATGTCCTTTGTACCCATTATTGCTATGGGTTCTCTCAACCATGAAGTTGTGCCCCATTTAGTGTTGCCCCAACTTTTTCAAAATAGTCATGGGTATTGTTGCCTTAAATGAACTTCTGAACGTAAACCTGGGTATCTAGGAGATCCTTTTCTGCTACATTCTCAAGCCAGCCAGTGATAACTACTACCTGGTGGTGAGGAGGATGGATCAATACTTAGTAATCCACCTCCCTAATTCCAACAAGGGCCACAAAAATGATGTCATTTTCGTTTCTGGGAACTGGGAGTACAAGGTGGAAGATACTCCTTCTTACAGGTGCCCATATGAAGAAAGCATACCAGGCATATGAACATAGTCCTCTTTGGTTTCTAGACTCTAATTTTTTTTGTTTACTAACTTTCTTTTACTCTTTTGTACCTAGGAGAGACTGTCAAAGGAAAAATTCTTGAGCGCTCTATGAAAATGAGAAAAGTGTGGTCTTTTAACGAGAGCCTATTTTACTGAGCTACTCATGTCCTTCTTAGATACACCTTTACCTATCACTCATTCATTGCAATCCTGGAGTGAGCCAATGCCACACTTGCCAAAGACCGATATGTATTGCAAGCTCAACGAGCTATTACCTCACATTCTCGACAAAAATCTGTCATCCCTTCATTTGGAAAGAACAAATTAGTGAAGAATTTTCTAAGTTTCCTTTCTTCAAGTGACCCCTCTGAATCCACCCCTTCAATTGTTCAAATTTCTAATGATGCAACTCCTTTACTTGCCCTAGAAATTGACCTATCATTACCTTCTAATGTTGCCCTTGAACCTGCTAAAACACAAGTTAGTCATGAGACTTCGATTCCTTCTCCCGAACCTACTTCTAAAGTGGTGCCTACTAATCCTTCAGTTGTCTTATCGCCAACTTAGTCAGCTGATGCAGACGTGCAGACCGAGGAACATTTGACAAAAAAAGAGAAGAATTGTAGAGCCCCCTTCTAAAATTCTTGTTGAGCAACCAATTCTTGCCTTCCATCCTATCCTGAAAGCAAAAGGTAAAGAAATCACTATTTGAGACTCAGTTGTTGATGACGTGAATGTCACAGTCGAAATAGCCAGGTGATCCTGCCATGTGATCTGGCTGCAAATGAGGCAGTATCGGATAATGAGATTGCTTGGCAAGCCATTCAGCAGATGGTTCTGGTATTTGTGTGGCTCTCTCTTCTTTTTATTCAGAAAGGTAATCTATCTTTGCGTTTTCATTCATTTATTTTTCTTTTTTAATAAGGGACTCCAAAAAGTTCATGAAGTTGGGGCGAGGATTGCCAGAAAAGACAAAGTCATAAAGAAACAATTCATGAGCGTCCGCCCTGGCAAAAAAGTAGTTTGTTGATGAAGAATATGCCAAGATTTGTGAAGAAATGCTTGTCCTTTAAGCTCAAATGCTCAACCTGACAGATGAGAACCACAAGCTTTTAGCGGAGGTGGAGGAGTTGAAAGGTTCAAAGAGTGCAATTAATGTGGAGCTTTCCCAGACCCAGCTTCAACACTCCACTACGTTAGAGGAATTTGAGAAGTTCAAGGTTGAAGCCAAAGATCTTGAAGATATTGCCTTTGGACAAGGGATGGTGAAGGTAGATCACTAGAAGATGCATAATTCTCAAAGGGCTGGGTTGCCACTCTGAAAGCTGCCAATGTGCCTTCTTCCTCTGAGCTCTTCCTAGGCTATTCCATACCTAGCTCCTTTAGACCTCCAACTTCTTCCTGAAAACACTATCTTTATATTTCCATGTGAAAAAGCTTACTGTATTCTCCTTTTGGTATTTGTGAAAGAATTTTTCAATTTAGGTTTTTGTACTTTATCCTATTTGGTCTTTTTGTAAACAATTTGATCCTTTTGTGTCTAGCCAAGGACCTACCCATTACATCAAATTTTTACATTCAGTTAAAGATTATAGGTCCCATATACTTTTAGTTAGGGATTCTCAATACATAGAATTTTAATTTGTGTCCTCTGCTCGGCCCTTAAATCTCATTTTTTACTCCAAGAAGTTTTGGCCTCTGTTCGGCCCTTCTTCAAAGAGCTAGGTTCTAAGCATTTTTGCTAGGGACCTTTACTTAGAAAAAATCTCATTTTTTACTCTAAGAAATTTTGGCCTCTGTTCAACTCTTCCTCAGAGAGCTAGGCCCCAAGCATTCTTGCTAAGTACTTTTACTTGGAAAAAATCTCATTTTTTACTCTAAGAAGTTTTGGCCTCTGCTCGGCCCTTCTTCAGAGAACTATGTCCCAAGCATTCTTGCTAGGAACTTCAAATTTTTAGAGAATATTTAGTGGAGGTTTTTGTGAAAAGACTTGGACCCCCTAGGCCTCTCTTCAAAAAAAGTTTTCGCGTGCACACCGACTTGTCGATCTAATTGGACTCAAATCATTGCCCATTCGGTTTGCATCATCATGCCTGACCATGGGCCTAGATTTGATCAGGTGGCTACGCCTGATTTAGGCTTTTACCTCTATTAGAATTTTTTTTCTCCTTATCTTGGTAGTAGGATGAGCTTGATAAACAACAGTATTTTACAAATCCAAAAGGTTAGAAAGACATATGCTCTTATTATAAAAAATTATTTACATAAGAGGAATATTCATAACAGAGGTACTTTTTTAACTTTTTTATTGGTACAGAGATATAGGGGCACCACTTTTTCCGAAGGTACTTCAGAGTTCTTATTTGTGAAGTTACTTCAAAAATAGAACTTTCGTAGATAAGCTATATTTCAGGGTCAAGGTACTCGCCTCTAGTTCATAGTCTCGAGTTCGTAAGATTTGTTTCCTATGGCTCGAGTTACCTTGTATGGTCTTTCCTA